AATAAAGATTATTTCTATACATTCCAATCCCCGCATTTAATGTACAAATATCACAAAAAATATATGTAACTAGGTATTTACATACTGTAGAATGCCCATATGTTACAAATTCTTAGTTGACTCACTCAATAAGAAGAAGCCTTATTCCTACTGTTTCCAGTTTAATAGTTCTTATAACGATACAATCAAGTCTGTACCTGCATTACTTACTGAGGACCCCCCATTGCAGCTATCACTGTAGTGTGACCATACTATGCAAGTATTGCTTTCCTCCGCTTTATTATTGTATTATATTTAAGAACAAGATATTTAACTATCTTATAAATTAACCTAATTTTATTTACCTATTGTTACAAAGTAAATTGATCAATTAATTTTATCATATACATTATAGCTTATTTTTATATATTTCTTTAATGTATAATAGTATATTGCAATGTACGTGTGCTAATTTTTTTGTGCGATTTTAATTGTGAAATGTAAGTGTAAGTCTAGTCGCTTATTTTTATACTACGTAGGTGTTAAACAAGCATACGGCCCATCTGATGGTAAACGGTTATGGTAGCCTATGGACGCCTGAGACACCATAGTTTCCACTGAAACGTAAATTGTAGACAATGGAGTTTTATATTCCAGATGACTGACTATATCGTGCGTGCTCATATTCACTCAAGTAGAAAATTATTAATCATATGATTCTTAAATTTCATACTGACACACTTTATCTTAATACACAACATGTCTATAGAAAATACGACAACATATTTTTCTACTAACTTAAAACAACTATACATACTACATATGCATGTCATATACATGTCAGACGGCCTCAGTAGTTTAGCGGTTTAACACACCGCTTTACTTCCGATGGTCGCTGGTTTGATTCCTCGCACGGTACAAACAATTGTATAAAAATTTTGTGTGTCAATATCAATTTATTGTATTTCGAACTGACTCGCTGAATGATGAAGTAAACATAGATATCAAACAGAATTATATTATTATTATATATATATATTAGTCTGCCGCGTTGATTTCATTTGTTTTATGAATGATAATGACCATTAACGCCTGCCTAGGCATTATGGAATAATGCACCCGCCTACGATAACTGTTCACGCTGGACCAATGGAGGATGATAAAATGAGCATGAAGTCAGGTCAGCCTATCTTGACAAATGGCAATTTATCACGACGGTTTCCAGGAACCGCGTGGAGGTAAACCTAACATGGTACATTGTTAGCAATGGGGTTATTAGTTCACATTACTAACAATCTTCTTTTTCCTTCATTTTATATATATTTATTCATATATATTATATATATATACAGAAACATATTTCATATATTTATATTTATTCATATATATTGTGCAAAATGTGGGCATGACAAATGTTGCGTTCGCTACAAGATCGACAGTTGACAATGCCTCTGACTACTCTATCTACGATAACAGTCGTAATGGTATGTTGTCGTTTATACATAATTTTCTGTTGTACCCTTAATCAATTACGTAGACACCTACAATGCTCATTACATTATATATTATATTACTCATTACATTACTGGCATATTGCATAACGTCATTGCCATGTTTTAAATTAAAAAAGTCATGAAAAACTGCACTGCCTATATTATGAACCGTCATTATCTGATTGCAAGTTTCCTATTTCGACTATATGAAAGTGTGAATTACGTCAACATCTTTATCCCGATTAATGAGATTATAAAGACTATTGATTATATCAGATCGACATTTTTACCCTTCACTGTCGAATTTGAGCTCATTGAGGCTTTACAGGTTGTATTCAGTCTTGTATTACTTTACAAAACAGTTGTTAATTTTGTCTGTGTACTAATTAAGAATATGATATAAATATGAATAATAGTTTTGAATAATTTTCAAACAAGCTGCTAATTTAGTTTGTGTAGGTACTTGTGTAAAGCCTGTGTATAAATATGATGATAATGTATAAGCTATATTACTGTAAAGTTTCATCAAAATTCGTTCTACTGAACGTTTTGTGTGAAAGAATTACAATCATCTATCTATACTAACAAATTTTAGCATTTATAAAATTATCTGGATAGTCACACGTTAAGTGCCAGAGGGATTGACAAAGTGTGATGTTTGTGACAGGCGCTGGGAGGAATCTTAAATTTCGTGACGTCACGACAATTCAAAATCTATAACTTTTTTACTAATATTTTAAATTGATATAGGATCATTTGCTGTAAATTTGTTCATATAATCTAGATATAAATCTAAAAGTATATGATGTACTAGTAAGGGGGAATTACTCACTAGTATTACAGATAACATATGCTAGTATGAACACCTAAAACAAAAACGAGAGGTGGAGTAAAAATCATGAAATTCATGGGTCGTAATTTTATTCATAGAGTATGCCCGTTATATAGATAGATTCTTTATACATTTAATTGTACAGATAAAGTAGATATATAGCACACAACAGTTTTATTAGTAAAAGTAATATTTTCAAGGTAACTCACACAGATCAAAGATAACCAACTGATAGTCACCTAGGCATATATTGGGAATTGATTATCAAAACCGATTACGGAATATTCTAATATGCATAATGAGTATTTTGTTCTAAAAAAAAACTGATTGCTAGGAAATCGACTGTACGTTTTTTTTTAATATTAATCGATTAGAAATTTAATTATAGATAAAACAATAATCGATTTTTGTTCATATTTCTTTTTCATAATATAAATTCAATATAATTGTGTTTTAGGTACTAGACAACTGATGTAGATACATTTTTTGTAAATATACAATATACTCAGATTGATACAATCATACTCATGATTACAAATATTTGTACTGTACGAGGAATCGATCCCGCGACCTTAGGAAGTAATCCAGTATGCTAAACTGCTAGACCATCGAGGCCGACAAATGATTAAATTAATAATTGTTACATTACATCCCTACTATTGTTGTTGGCGTGCATTTGTGAACTTGATAGTTGTTATGCTCTCTACATCGGCTCTAGTATTTCAATGTCGTGATTCGTCGTCGTCAATCCAATTGTATATTAAAGTTATGAAACGTAATTAAATGTAACAAATTAATTTAAGTATGTGTAATATAAGTTTGTGTTTGCAAAAGCGGGACTTTCGGAATAGGCAGCCTGAAAGCAGCACTATCCCGCCCAAAACAAGATGTACGATCACGGTTTGTATTTCCTATCTATACATATAAATAAAATTGGAGTATCTGTTTGTAATATTGGAATAACCGTTTATTACTACATGCATATGAATATAAAAACAATACATACACCAAAATAACATTTTTTACAATTTTTGTCTGTCTGTTTGTTCCGGTTAATCTCTGAAATGGCTGGACAGATTTTGACGGGACTTTTTTTGGCAGGTATCTGATGTAATAAGAAGTAAATTAGGCTACTTTTATTTCAGAAAAAAATATTTTATTTTAGAAAAATAAATTTAAGATCCACGCGGACGAAATCTCGGGAACAGCTAGTCGTTAATCCACGTCCAAATATTTTCCAGGACAGTCCCCTAACTAGACTGACTGTTCGTCGCCTTATCGTTTATTTATTTAACGAGCTACTAATGACAATAGCTGCAAGAATGCGTCAGGTCAATAGCACAATATACCTGATTACAGATAATAGAATTATTAATAAACGTTTCACATGTTACATATAGAGATGCACAAGTTTCTACTTAGTCCTATGTGTTGGAAACTCCAACAAAAATAGGTACTAAAACCGTCTTAATTATTTATTTCATAATATCTAAATATATATAACTCAAAGGAGACTGACATAATGATCTATCAACGCACAGCCCAAACCACTGGACGGATCGGGCTGAAATTTGGCATGCAGGTAGATGTTATGACGTAGGCATCCGCTAAGAAAGGATTTTGATTAATTCTATCCCCAAGGGGATAAAATAGGGGATGAAAGTTTGTATGAAACTTTGTCATTTTTAAACCGATCGGGCTGAGACTTTGCATGCATAAAGCTACAATGACGTAGGCATCCCCTAAGAAAGAATTTTGATAAATTCTACCTCTAAATTAATGCGAGCGAAGCCGCGGACAAGAGCTAGTTTAAATATAGAACGCTGTGTTCTATTGATTACGATTGTCATTTGTTTTTCTGTTCTTCAATATTTTGTTCATCGCTAATTTTATGGTCATGTTAATAAATATATATAATTACGATTTAATTTACAATTTAGTGTTTTATAATTATTTACAACGAATGCACCTCGTTGAGATTCACACACTATGTTAGTAGGATGTGTAGGTATGGACTGAGTAAACGTTATTGTAACCTATTTTGTACTCAATTTCAAATACTATTCGTGTCGTAACCACTGTACCATATAGTTATTAAACTTCATAAGTTGATTGAACTATTGATAACGATCAGTAAATAAATAAACTCATCTTTATTATTATAATTTGTTTTGGGTTAATGAAGGTCACAACATCTGTGAGAAAATTATAAATATAATTATAATATCGTTAAATAAAAAAGCATCTAAGATTTGTCTCAAAAAAAAATCCATGTATGTGGGAAACAAAATTAATGGTATTAAGGTAGCACTCAATCCTTTCTATTTTAGAAAAATTAATAATTAACATATATTTAGAGAGCTACAAGTATAAATGATAAGAGTAGGTGGACGTTCATAAAAAACAGTCCCTTCCAATTTGAAATCGGTTGAAAATTCTCCATAGAGATAACTTTGCACCAACAACCAGTTCATTCAAGTAGCCACAATGTCCTTTCGCCTTTTCTCCAGTCTCAAAAGAAATGTGTACACGGTCGTGGTATACGCATACATGTGGAGCGAAACTAAGCAGCTCTATTAGCGTATTAAAAAAACAACTATATTCGATATAGAACACGGTTGGATTTACGATAGCGTGTTAAAGTTAACAAGACCTTTCTGCTACAGAGTTACTACCGGCACCAGTTTACCGCTTCACGTCATCAGTACTCCAGTGACTAACTAAACACGATACGGGTTACTCGTGTCTATTCATTGTGTGTAATTAATTAAAAAAACCACTAAATTGTTATTTATAAAGCAGTGATTTTATTCTGCAGTTCAATACCGTAGTGTTATCATAAATTCGTGTAGCGTTATCTTTATTATTGTGACATAAACATTTTTTCAAAGGATTTCGTTTCTATACGTAAGTACATATTGATTTTACTCTTACTTATTCAGTAATGTGGCTAACATTAATCGTTATTTTAATGGATGCTTATAGATTTTTCCGTAGTGATTATTTAAGTAATTTATATATTTAATTAGCTTTAATCATTTCATATTAACTTCATAACCTTTAGTAAAAACATAGCGTGTTAGTGTAGCAATTCCGTTACTTACATACATTCATGTGTGATTTTTTTGAACTTACTCGATTCATATACTTTATTACTGTTAGAGGTTCTAATTTATTTTTTATATATCTATAAGTACTTGATAAGTTTTTTATAAGCACGTTCCGTAATTATTGTCAAGGATTAATTATATTTAATTATGTACTTATATATTGTTATTAAAACCATTCGTAGCTACATTGCGGTTTAATCTAAGTCATCCTACCTATATCATTTGTAATATCAGTTACCATACCAACATCTTCATTAGAATTATAATAAGATATATGCTTCACGTTTTCTTGAAATACTGACATTGCTATATATAATCAATTTCGTCCTTAATTATGTAGAAACATTATTCATCATTATTGTTGAATTTCAGCAACTCTGAATCTTTTCCTGTTAGTTATAGAAACTAGTGTTCATGTATTATATATACTACTGTTATTAGTTAATTTAAATATAAAACATTGCGAGAAGAATTTCAAAGTACTTCTTGTTGAATGCTTACTTTCTTAGTACAATAAATATTGCTAAAAATAAATTTTGCTGATGGAAAATACATGGTTTTGGCCGTCAATACGGAATGTTGATATTTTCCAGATTCTTCAGTAGATATTTGTTACAGCTGGCTCTGTTTCTACGTACAATTCACAACAAAATAATACATACTGTAAAACGAGAGTTCTGGAACACGGTATCAAAAAAGAAGCATTTCTCTTTGAAAAAAATATTTAAGCATTTGTCTTATAGTGCTTCCGTCCTGGCTTCCGCCGCATAATAATTTGCATGCAACAGACGTACTATGTGACTTGTACCTAATATGAAATGGATGTACAGTTACATTAAACTTATAAGAGGTTATGTCAGTTGAAATAAAACAAGCAAAAATAATCATTATTATTTAAATAAACTAATATTCTACTTCACTTTGTAATGGTCATTTTATCAATTCGAACAGCTCTATCGGATCCCAAACTAAGCCGAGCTTGTATTATGAGTACTAAACAACTGATAGAAATACATAAAAAAAAAACACCCAGATCAGTATAAACTATCATACTTATGTTGTGTGTAAATGCAAAAATCATAAATTTCCTGATTTTGGAACTTACTGGTATTGAATATGTAGAATACAGACAATACCAGTAAGTAACAAAATTAGTCAGTCAAAATTACGGAAGCAGATCAATTCAATACAAGTTCAACAAGTCTTCTTCCTCTTAGCTCTGTCCCACTTTATGCGGGGTCGGCTCTCCTAATTTTACAAGTTCAAAACAAGTAATAGCCTGTAATAATAATAATATAATTTTACATAGTATAGAACAAATAGCTGTAATTACGAATAGATCTTTTAAATTACGCAACGAATTTTAAAATAGTTTTCAGCAATAGATAGAGTTATTTAAGAGGAAGGTTTATATGTATAATACCTGCATATTGTGTACAAAAAGCTGAAACATTCAAACACTTGTAATGCACCTGTGCGAAGCCAGAGATGGTGGCATGTACAACATATATTAAAGTAACAATAATAAACCATTTCATGAATTTTATGATAAGTGGTAGTTGTATATATAATCCAATTATAATAGTATTTTTATGATATCGGAATTATGCACCCGCCTGCGCTGCGGTATACGCGGGGCAGAAGTGAAGGATGAGAGGATGAGGATAAAGTCAAGTCAATTAGTCCCCATCATGTCAAATTCACCAGGAATTGATGATGGTTTCCAGAGTTACATTAGTCCACATTACTAACAATCCCGTTCTCCCCAATTCTTTATATATACTGGTTACAATCTCCTCAATGTATACGTTAAATTATAAATAATGTTAGCATTGGATTATCTAATTTTTTTCTAACATCATAACGAGAAACATGACCAACAAAAAAGACTTACATCAAAAACCGGCTGCTAAATAAAAAAGAATTCAATGAAATATAAGACGGATGTGTTTGAGAAATAAAAGATATACATTGAACTCTCAACAACGGTACTGCCATAACGTGCAGTGTAACGATATTACTAATAGAAACGGTATACGGATTTGTATCTCTTAAATAAAATGTATGCTGAATGATTTATCTAGAAAAGTTCCATCAGACACGCCAATAATACCTATAAAATGAATGAAATATACACTGTCAATTTTTTTTTACGGATGATAATGGAATGGTGTGCCCGCTTGCGGTAATGGTTTATATTGGCAGGGCATCTATGGAGGATGATTAGATGAGCATGAGGTCAGGTCAGTTAACCAAATTCTTTAGGAATTGATCACAATGGTTTCCAGGGGAAACCGCGTGGAGCTCAACCTGACATGTTACACTGCTAGCAATGGGTATTTATTCTCCATTACTAATAATTGCCTTCCCCTTTAATTATATTTTATGATCTCAAATATTTCTAAGAATATGCTTACTCTGTACAAAACTAAGAATGGTATTACAATTGTTTTACAAGCATTCTATACAGGATGAAAGGCGTGACATCTTGATCTTATGAAACAGCAACGCATCATCGGTATTACGGATATCTCATGATAACGTGATGTCCGCAGTGTTCATGTTTAGGCGATGGTTACCGCTTACCATCAGGTGGGTACCGCTCACCATGAGTTGTATTTTGTTTCCCATTCGAGTTAAATAAAAAAAAACAATGTTCATCTTCTGGTTAGAGAAAAGAATCAGATTAATTGCTAGTCATATTTGCTGTCATCTGTCAACAACGTCCTGATTTGGCTCAAGATTCTAAAACCATGTTGGTAAATCAATCATTCTTTTCATGAAGCCAAATGAGTAATGTGTCTCTCCTAACAAGACGAAAATAATGTATTGAAATTTTCTCTTTAGTAATACTATAAATGAACTGTTTGCTTTAAAATCAGAGGCTGACTCATTCAAGTATACGAACGACACATCAAAACTTGCAACTTTTCAGTTTACGGTTGCAAAACATTTTGTTTTACGAATATAAAATTTAATTCGTTTGAAACTTACGAGTTCGTAAGTAGTGTACCTGAGTCTGAATAGAAACTTCTTTAAAACAGTTCGTTGACCGATTTAGCTACTTTGAATGACTCACTAGCGAAGTGAATATAGTCTGTGCTAAAAATGCAAAGGATTTTTCTGTATTTTTACACAATCGTTTTCGTCGTCGTCGTATCGTCGCTGACAAACAACCTCTTAAATATCAACCTCATTTAAATAATACGATTTAATTTATTCGACATATTGCAACGGAATTATTTGCCATACTTTTTTTTATGTTTATTTTCCCAATGCTAAAACGTAATACCGCATCAAATGAAAATGAATCACAAAAACCAATAAAATATATACTATTTTGTTGTTGAAACTAATTAATATAATTCCCACTCACACCTCAAAACCTACTGGCAAGCACAAAACGACATAATTAAATATATATTCTTTTTTTTTAAATTTTATTACAAGATCTAATTAAATATTCTGTTGTATATCTATGGCCGTATGACTGTTTCTTTTACTTTGAAATATAAAACACAATTTCTAAGCACATATGTGTAAAAAAAATATATCACAGTCTGTACCGAAATTATTAAGTAATAATAAAAACTTCAAAAGTGAAAAAAGTGATTTTGCGACCTTGGATGATGTAAAGGGAGAGAGGACGGTCGATAAATAATTAAAGGAGAGTAAGTTCAGATATGACCGCCGATGGAAATTAGTCGAAATAGATGACATATTGCGCCGACTCCAAATAGTGGAATGAAGTCAAGGCAATAATAGTCTACACCGAATTATGTTTGGTGTTTGCATTTTGCTAATTGTTCATTTTATGTTTATTAAGTAAACAGTGCTTTTAGTAACTGTTGTTTTAGTGTAGATAATTGAACATATGGCGCTATTTTATTATTATTAGGTGTATAAAATGTAAATTGCCAGTCATGTATGATTCAGCTGTTATTTTTTACAAACTAACTAGACGCTGCTACAATCATGCTATACGAAAACTTCATAATCACACTGCTTTTAACAAAATGACACTCGTACAATTATAAAATTGTATTGTACGTTCTCACAACTATAATTAACAATAGTGTATTATAAAATTACTCCACGTACAAGATCCGAAGCGGTCGTTAACAATAGGAGCTATGTGTGACGCGCATAAGTCGGCGTGCTATTGTTGAGAGGAGCAAACTTCGTTATATCAACCACAACACTCGCCGCTAAGGAAATTGAATCTAAACGTCATAGCAATAAAGACTTCATGACTATTCTCATCGGATACGAGTGAATTTTTTCCATAGCACACACACCACATCTCTTACTCGACCGACAATGTCAACAAACGTAGAATTGCCGCTGGTACAAGTCAGTTGTGACTCACACGACAATCCAACTTAAGTGGAGCTTCAGCAATCAATTTTTTCGTATTATAATTTAGTAGAAGGTCGCTGTGTAATAGTTCTTCTAAGTCTGGTAATAGTGCAAAAACTACTTCAATATAGATAACAAAAAGTGCTCATGTACACAATACAACTGTATTGAAGAGTTGTTTGTGCTCATATTTTCCGCTTTTTGTTGCTCTTTGTCTTCTAATGAATTAAAACGATCGATAAATAATCCTGAAGGATTAGCAAGTTGATCTGACAATAGCCAAGTTATATTGATCGAACAACCTTTAGTAACGGAGAAGTAATATTCTCCGTATAGTAAATAGTATATTGTAGGTAAATAAATCTCTCAATAGTAGGAGGAATCTCATGTATTGATATTTAATTAGATGCAAATAACAAATAATCATTCCTGTAATAA